ATATATATATATATATATATATATATATATATAACTATATATATATATATATATATATAAGCACGTATTGTGCTGAAAAATCTCCAGTCTTACAGTTACAAGCACCAACTTGGCATACATATATAAATATATGATCTGAGTGTGAGTGATATATATAGAGAGAGAGAGAGAGAGAGAGAGAGAGAAAGCGACGGACAGAGAGCTATACATATATACATAGATCTATCGGGCTTCGCCACTTTATGAATGAACTAAAGCGCAAATTTTAATATTTTGGCTTGCGAGCAGTGAAAGTTGGTATTACCACAACCCCAACGGATATAAATTTTAAGCCTAGACTTCCATTAGTATATTTAAATGTATACTATACTGTATACAACAGTGCAACATACATATTTATATATACTACAGTACCGTCATAAATTAGCGTTGATAGTAATCTTTTTTCAAGTGCTTCAAAAGAGTCATAAATAATGGGGGCTTTGTTGTAAACTACATATATTTCGTAGTTCTTGACTTGTTACGATTAAAGTAGCTAAATCCAGGAGTACATATATCAAGTTACTGCGACGAAATGCACTGCAAAATCAATGTAATTAGTTCGAGTACTCAAAATGATTCATTTAAATTATTTAATTTCCAGCCTAATAACATCAGACATGCAAAATCTAAATTACACAATAGATGGAAACTAGCATACAAAATTATATGTTGGGCATGTGCATTGAATGAAATATCCTTTTCGCTATTTGGTTCATTGCAGGAGACCGTTGGAAGATCAAAACGTTGTCAAAAATTCAATATGAAACAAAAGGATTTAGGGCAATTCAAAAATCGATCGCAGCTAAGGAATCGTCCAGGGATGGGCATACTTGAACTATGTAGCATCAATTCCACAAAGTACTGCTGACTCCGATACAGCATATATGGCAGTCCGCTCACAGCTGCATTCCCGACTTGGCCTATTCCCACCACTGATGTATGTGGCCAGCAGCTTGTTGGCCACAAGCGGCGCCATTGGGCTGAAACAGAATATTTCAACAAGTTACGACAGCTACTCGCAAACATGGAGCTCTGGCAATCGCAGCAGCCTGGCACTAACCCCATCCTCATCTACACCCACAGCCGCAGTGCAGTCCACGTTGAATGACTCCGCCAATTGGACCCTTGACGCGCTGCCCACATTAACGGTTTTCAATTACTACAACGAATCTGCGGCGGCGGCTGAATGGGCCCACTTCTACGATCTCATTTTCTCATGGCAGGGCATCTGCCTGATTACAGTGTTCTGCACGTTCATCGTCGTCACCGTCATTGGGAATACCCTCATTATTTTGGCCGTTATAACCACCCGCAGGCTGCGCACAGTTACCAATTGTTTCGTCATGAGCCTGGCCATAGCTGACTTGCTTGTTGGCATTTTCGTGATGCCCCCGGCAGTGGCCGTCCACCTGATTGGTAAGCAACTCGATTCAGTCAATCACAGGTGTATTTATTTAAACGGCAATTCAATTTGCATTTTTGAAATGTTGTGTTGTTCTTTTCAGGCTCGTGGCAACTCGGCTGGGTGCTCTGCGACATTTGGATATCATTTGATGTGCTGCTCTGCACAGCGTCGATTCTAAGTTTGTGTGCCATCAGCGTTGACAGGTATTGCGACCCCAGGCAGCAGCCCTCTGAAGGTATTCAAATTACATTTGCCCTTTTCTTGTTTCTGTCTCTTGTAGATACCTTGCTGTTACACAGCCCCTAACCTACTCCCGGAAGCGACGCTCGAAGCGCCTTGCGTTCCTAATGATCCTTATCGTTTGGATTCTGGCATTAGCCATTACATGCCCGCCCATGCTGGGATGGTAATTATATTTATCTTGTACTTGTTTCATTACTGGATTCAAAAATTATATATTAACTTGTAGATTATGTTATATTAGGACTCGTTTACTAATATAAAGAATTTAATTGAAAAAAAAATATATATATATACTTCATGGGGTCTGTGATGATTTCTTCTGCCCGTTACTTACTTTTTCAATGATACATACTTTTTTCAATGGGTTAAGGGTATAATAAATATATAATAAATAAATTATATATTATATATTATATATTATATATTATATATTATATATTATATATTATATATTAT